CACGTCGTGCAGCAAGACTTGTGAAAGTTACGTATCAGGAGCTACCAGCAGTGCTCACAATGGAGGTATGCAGTATTTTTATAGTGATTCAGCCATGATATCAGTTTGCGAGGTTTGGATGGGTGATGGAGTATATGCTCTTTGCGGCAGTGAATGGCGGATCGCACCTGAGATCCAGTCAGGGTCAACCCTATCGTTGTTACTTTTTGAAAATTTTTTACGACCCCCCTCCCCCAAGGTGGATTTGATACGACCCCCTTTTCCACACCTCGACCACCATCATCCCTCTATCTATACCACTCAACCCACCAAACTCCGCCCACTTTTTCCTCCAAAAATGCCGTCGAGCGGGGGGGGGTATATAGCTACTCTGAAACAGTAAAAATTCCTATATCTCCGCCATTTTACTCTACTTCTACCGGCTTTTACCTATATTTACAGATTTACTCACCCAACCTACCTACCATAAAAACTTCAGTTTCACCTCAAACTCACATGTGATTTCAAGCGACTGAAACGGGTACGACCCCCCTCCTACAAACTCAACCAGGTACGACCCCCCGTTGTTACTAGTAACAACGTAGGGTTGACCCTGGATCCAATCATATAAGGTTTCCCAGCATGTCCTGCGCAGCCTCAGCCATGACTTTCACGGATGAGCACTTACGTCACTTTACTGTTACATACGTTACTAACATATTACTTCTTTGAAATACCTCTCAGCTATTCACTTCCCTTTGCCTGATCTCAAGAATGTTTTTGGTCCGAACCCAGTTTTGGCGCTGATTTCAGGAAGCCATAGAGCAAAAGTCGTATCATCTGGAACCTCACCAGTTCGGAGTCAGTATAGATGAAGTCGAGGATGAGCTGCTGAAATGTGACATCGTAATTGAAGGTACATTTGGAAAACAGCTGTTTGTTCTTGATTTAACTTGTTCTAAATTGTCCAATATAAATTTCCTACCGCGGATGGAAATTCCTTTTTTGTGTCATCATGTAATGCTATTCCTCCAGAACTACTACTAATCTCATCCCATATCATTCTTTTGGTAACATGACAATACATGCAATTTGTAGGGCGCGGCACATTTCGCTAAAATAAACCCGAGCCGCTCAGCTTATTCAGCTTCCTGCTTTTGTATGCGCCCTTTTGCCCAATAGTCTACTCGCCAATAGATGGCGAGAAAAGCTCAACGGCGGCGCGGATGCGATCGCGTCCGGTGACGTCACAGTAAGGGCGAGGAGACAAGCAGTGGCGTTATCGGCCGCCACTTTGTTAAAATAATAATGTTGCTACTGTCTTACCAACCTTTGCATCCTCTCGATAAGCAGTTTTGGAAGCGAAATGATTGCATTTGGGACGTATGGATAGCGCACTCCAGTAAACTAGGAATTTCGTTCTGGAAGCTTGGAGGGAATCAACGTTAAGTGTAAACCGTGTGGAGTGAGCAGTCAAGTTGATTGCAAGTTCTGCTGTTTGTTCCCACTTTTACCCCTACACACTCCTGGTTACTTCACGGTGAATTAGGGCCAGCATTACGTTGCCTGTTACAGCTTTTGCGGCAACAGTATCCCTTGCTATCAGGTTGGTCTATAAGTCTTGCAACAAACTGGCTAGATTTTGATTTTTTTTCCTTTTTGTTCTCTTCATCCAGCATAATACGCACCATCAATATGTATAAACTACATATTGCCAACGCACTAGAAGCTGTTCGATGCCTCTCCTTGTAGAACTTCGTTGAATGCTGATCGAAGAAAGATCAGATGTCGATTTTGACATCATGATGGTTTTGAGATTTCTTCTCTAGGAGTGGTCTGGAGAGGGAAGCAGGTGGGCATCTTTTGGCAGGAGGTCAGAGCTATAAGCTGGATATGGAAGAGCTCTTCGTCCGAGTGGTTCAACGGTGTCAAAAAGTAAACTTTGTCTGCTTTTCTTTCGTATTGAAAGCGTTGCAATCGAGCTGTGGATGGTTGACTTTCGCGTTGACTGCGACATCTACACGTAGGGGTTTCCAGAGCTTAACTCCTCTCGTGTTCCACCAAAAATCCGAGAAGGCCCTACTTGGACGAGGTTGAACTAAGAACTCCCGAAGCGTTTGAGCTGGACTACCGCCGCTTGTTTATTTGTTAGCACACTGTACCCACTCCTCATCTTCGGCAAATGTGATGGATGGTCAATCGAAGAATCCATAGTAAGTCGACTTGAACATGACGATGTCAGATCGTGTTTGGAGCTGAATCGGGCTCAAGGCACGTGGGACCAAACTCTACATTTCGGATCTTCACAAGTCTTTGGAGATGCCACAGTGCTGTCTCCTTGTCGCATCGGAATCGCTCTAGCAAATGATCGATACTCTATCCAGATCCCTTTTCAACGCGTCAGATAGAGCATCGTGATTGTCAGTCACAGGGTGGTTGGAGTGTGGATCGTTTTCAAATGCGGAAAGTAAACCTTGAGCAGAGTGAGTAGCAGTACTTACGGAACATTCCAAGCAGTACTCGTAAAAATTAAAGGCACGAAGAGATTTTCGCGAAACCGGTAGAATATCAATCTGAAATTGCAAAGGCGGACGCTATGTCAACAATCATGTTGCGGAATACCCGGGGATCTCATAGTAATTCTCTAGCATCAAATCTAGAATCTCAAATTTGTTGCAAAACTCATGGGCCAACTTAAGTCCCAGCAGGGTGGGCGTGGAACTTCGGAGCTGTTCAGCCCCTAGTCAAGAACGTAGGAAGTGTGACTGAACAAAAACTCACCTTGGAAAGCCGCTAGGGAGGGAGCTGAAGTGGGCGTGGTCGGAATCGGCCGAGGGGATTGCAGTCGTTTCCGACCACGCCCACCCTGCTGGGACTGTTGCTTTAATAGTTCCCTTGGCGCTGCTGTGACGTCACTAGCACGTATTCGTATCCACGCTGCTGGAGAGCTTCTACGCTTTTACGCTCACCAACAGCGTAGATGAGAGCACAGAGCTTTTGAAGCTCTCGATTGGAGGTTGCTCCCTATCCGACCTTTCTGCAGGAATGCTTGAGCTTTCTGCAATGGTCCTGTTGACAGAAAAGCCAGGACACAAGCGCTACTAGGGAAGAGCACTGGCTCAGCATCGAAAGTGGTATCAGCAGAACGCTATTTTGAGAACAGTGCATATACGAGACAAGAGATGTGATGCAGTTTGAGCGGAGAACGAAGACTAAGACACTAAGACGAACAGCCACGAAGCTTGTCTCGCGTAGAGCCCAGCTCTTAGTTATGATGAAAGTCATCTACTTATTCAGTCCTATGCCATCACAGTGCCTGTAGCCATTACAGCTGTATCAAGGAAAATCCGATGCGACAGACAGTGGCGATGGATCGCATTTCAGCAGTGTTTCTCATTGGTAACTTGTGAAGAGTGCCCAATGCAGAAAATATTCCAGCCCTTATCGCTCTTCGGACTGAATTAACGGTAATTACTCTCCAGGGAACGCATCTACTTTAAGGTCGTGGTACCAAAAGATGTATGAAGTGGCGCAGCTATACAGTACATAGTGGGCAGAGGAATAAATAAATATTTAAATAAATAAACAAATTTCGTGCGTGGTTCATTCTGAAGTTGCTAGGCGTGATTAATCTGCTAGGCGTGTTCCAGGAACTACAAGAAGTGGATGCCAGGATCACTGTTATATGGAACCGCAGGGTAGTATTGCTATACCTGGAAAAAATGACGAATGGTAAGCACCACTGCTAAGCTTATCATGCACTTATTCTCTTTAAGTATCTGTTTCCTTACTCAGGGTCATTCATACTTCAACGGAATCAGCGAATTTGCACCAGCTCTTTACGTCGGCTGTCTTAGGTATTCCGGCACATAAGGTTACTGTGAAGGTAAATAATTTCAGCTTTCCGAAGCTTTACAACAGCTCTCAAACTCAAGAAATTCAAGAAGGTTTCAAGCAGCTAATACGGTTGGGACTGTGCTGGAGGTATGGCTTCTGGCTGCGGAAGGAGCGCGTGTAAGATGTCTCGCAAATCTTCCATTCCCCACACGCGACCTAAAGGCAGAGGTCGCGCGCTTGCTGAGAGGCTGATACGAGTGACAGGTCGATGGAACGACACCAGTGGTCATTTGCGGATGACACCGAAAAACGTAGGCGGTTCAACGGCATTCCCTGACGCTTTTCTCGTCCATGGGCAGTAAGCACTAGGTAAACACCGATAAGGTATCACTTCATTCAAACATCAGCTATGACGCAGGATTTTGGACCTTGGTAAAGTCTTCCAAAAGGTCTCATGCTGCATCTAGGCTAATCAAGCGTTGCCTTAGCTTTTCCATAACTCAGTTATGATGATCCCATGGAGTCAACTCGCCATGAGGTAAACATGAGGGTCATTTTTGGAAAGGTGGAATGAAATGCTTTGAGAATCTGAATTTTTTATGTGGACTTGAAGAAACTTTTCGTAACTTTTGTTCCCGATAGTCATAAATTCGTTCCTCCCCACTCTAGTTTTTACGGGGGACTTACGGACTTGTAGCTAAAAAATGTCCGGTTCTTCTTGTAGCGTAGCGAATCGTGCAATTTGGGCGGATCAGATTTGCGATTGGTATATTGGTCACGCTAGCTAATCACAAGCACCGTCGCTGGAGCTGCGCGTCGAGGCGTCGCCGAATTTCTACTGGATGTTCTGAACAATTATGATTTTATTAAAGGCTAACTTTGTGACTAACAGTAGTTGTTATTTTTCAAGGTCTTTTTTGAGGCACCGCTTATTCGTTTTCTCTTTCTACAACATACCCTTTAGGTGGAACGCGTTGGCGGTGCATTTGGTGGTAAATACACTCAAAGTGCGCCAGCTGGAGCTTGGGCTGCACTTGCAGCACGAGTGCTGAACCGCCCAGTCAAGGTTGTTCTAAAGAGGGCCGAAGATATGCTTATCACTGGGAAACGTCACCCGGCCATGGTAAAGTACAGGTTAGTTTTGAGAGTGATTAGTACGAGACTGCGGAAGATATAACGGTTCGAAGTTGTCATTCAAAGCTAAAGTGATCGAATGATTGAGTTCTACAAATCACATACGTACTTAGAGATATTTAGAGTTGGCATCGATGTGACTGGTTTGCTACGTTGCGCGTATCTCAAAGTGTATCTCGACGGAGATTATGCTATCGATGCATCAAATGTGGTGAGGATAATGTTGCTACCACGAGTGTCCCAAAACTTGTGCATGTATTTCAAGTCATGCGAGGCTTATTCAAGTCACAAGTCCGGCCACTTCTCTAGGACAGCTTACAACATACAGAGTCACTCTCTGTTCTACTAGCTGCGACAGTCGTTTTGGAAACGCAGAGAATTTGACCACTACGCCTGTGATTGGTCGACTGCTGGCGATGGACAATCATAGGCAGTTCCTCCCGCGCTGCGTGCGCCTGAATTCACAAAATGCATCTGGGTCAACTTCAAAAAGAATCTTCCTCCTATGGGTACCGCCCTTTCTTTTCTGATTACCGCTATGCTAATTACATTCTCCTTGATTCAGGTTACCTACATGTCAACTGCCTTGTCCGATACATGTTATAGCATTCCAGTAATGAGAGCTGAAGGATACGCATTGAAAACGAATAAGTCGAACAACACTTTCGTAAGGTAGCTTTCAAAGTCGATATTGAAAACTATAACAGAACATTTATGTACAGTGGGTTGTGTAGCAACAGGTCACCGCGCGATGTCGCGTCCCGCAACTGGGGCTGTCGCGGAATGCATGCGCGCGCAGTTCCAGTGCAGATTTTTTCGCTGAGGGACCACAATGCCGGCACTTCGGAATCAGTTTCAAGCCGCTGGGGGTGCGGTGCAATCACCGCGTTCCGTCGGGCTAGCATTTGCTCCCAGCTTCGTCTCAAAAATTGCGCGGTTAGGGCGCTAATCCTTACGGGCCTGCAACCATCGACTCCCTTCCAACGCTTCCCACCCACCGCGAGAGTGGTGAGATCAGCGTGCATTGATGTAGAGATCAGCGTGCTCTCTCAAACGACGTGCTCTCTCGCGTATTTTGTCTTCTTTCTCGCCATCGTACCACATCCGACCTTATTGAAGGTTAAGGCCTTAATTTCAGCGTTCCCAAAGATTTCTCTTGCTTTCCTTTCCACTTTCAGGTCGTCCGCAGCTAAGCTATCACAATGCTCGTAGCACCAGTTTAACCCTTGGTTTGCCTTTAAGCTAAAAGTTGGCGTGACGTCGCGCGATGACATCGCGCTTTAAACCCATTACCGTATGGAAATGAACAAAACTTCTGCCATTACTTTCAGGGGCTGCGGTTTGCCTCAGGCTTACTTCGCAATGAATGGTATCCTGTGTCACGTCGCACACGCTGTGAATAAACCGCTCGAAAAGGTAGCATTTAAGTGTGTACGAACAAACTTCACTCCACTCTAGGTCATTAGCCTAGCGGAATCGGTAGCTTCGAACTCTCCTGGTGGTCGCTGCAAGCAACGTAGCCGTTCATGATTAGAACGTGCCTAGAACGTTCGAGATTTGATTCATTATTTGCATGGAGTACTGATTAATGTGTATTAAGGAGTCCACACTAGAACGCCAGATTTACCACCAGCGCATGATGCTAAGGCCAGTGTCAGACTTCGCGAATTAGTCACTCGCTACGGAATACGAGCGTTGCACCAGCAAATCGAGCTGTGTAACAGCGGTTCGAACGATGTAACATCGACTCGACACCTTCGAAAGTGTTAGGACTCCCTTCGAACCTCGGCTCTCGCCACTCTTCCGAGCTCACGAGGGCATGAGACAGCGAGAAGGCATGAGAGCTCAGGAAAGTGGCGAGGGTCAAAGAGCAAACGAGAGGGAGTACTTCGTTCGATCTGCTGGTACACAGCTCGATTCGTTGGTGCAACGCTTATATCCCGCGATTCGCTAGCGGATCACTGGATAAGCAAGAGCTGACACGTCCTGAAACAAAGTGATTTGATTAAGTCGCCTCCGAAGATCGTCTGTGATTGGCTGTCGTCATCAGTCTGCCAATCGCAGGCGATCCCTGCTCCTTGTGTTTTTGCCTATGCGTTATCCCTCAGTCTCCCTACTCTCCTTTCGAACGACACTCACCATTCAGATAATGAAAATGAACTTCAATAAAAACGGAGGAATACGACCATCGAAGGAACCGATTCTCAACGACGCCCTTTTGGAGTGCTGGGAAGAGTGCTTGAAGTGGAGTGATTTCGACGAGCTGCGCGAAGAAGTCGACCGTTTCAACAAGTTAGTGCTTTGTAACGCTTGGCGCAATAAAGATAAATGCATAAGAATAAGGGCCGGTGAATCAGCAATATCGGATAGTCTTTACTCTATCTTTAGCGGAGTAGTAGTAAGCACTCATTGCTGCGCCTCGAAGGCTAAACCCGACTCGTCTGGCAGGATAAACAATGATTTGTAGATTGGTCCAGGGAAGCCTTGCATTTGTCATTTCTTATTCAAATGGCACCAGCGTTGTAAACAAACTATAACAGAAGGCGTAGCACTGCCCAAAGAGGAGTAAACCAGGGCTGGATGCTCCAAACTCATACTCTTATGCTTCATGCTCTGTTTTAGAACCTCGAATCACATAAAACGAGGAATAGCTGTGAGTGCAACCCGGATGGGTTTAGCGTCTCCTGGACCTAACGAACAGGTAGGAGCTCAGTAGTGGTGGATTATTGCTCTTTGGTTGCTCTCACTAGAATACTGCTTTCACGATACCTTTCAGGCTGTAGCTCTCGTGCAGGTTTCTAAAGATGGAAGCGTTGCAGTCACAATTGGAGGAGTTGAGATGGAACGTGAACTGATCACAAAGTGTCAACATGTTGCCAGTCGTGCATTGCGAGTAAGCTAATAATAATATTAGGTCGGTCCATAAGTCTTGCAACAAACTACATTTAATGCTATAGAATTTTAGGGAGAACTCCTGAAAATCCGCAACATATTTCCTGACGTAGCATCAACCTTTGCAATTTCAGCCAACGGTCCAGCTCGTTGTCTGCTTACTTATTATGGATATTACACCGATTTCGCGAGAGGGCTCTCGGTGCCCTTAATTTTTACGAGTACTGCTTGGAATGTTCCGCAAGTCATGCTAGACCAAGGATTGGCCAGAAGATAGGCGAGGGCAAGCTCTCTCAAACCACAGTGCAACGGCGCTTCACTCTGCTCAGCGTTGACTTTTTTATTTAAGGATACATTATACGAAGTTTGCTATGGCGATTCGAGGCGGCAAGGAGACAGAAATGTGGCCATTCCAAAGGTTGTGAAGAGTTCGAAATATTGGAGTCTGCGTCGCCAATGCTTGAGCCGAAAAAAAAAAAATTCAGCTCAAAACTGATAGCTGAATATCGTCATGTCAAGTCGACCATCCATCACATTTGCCGAAAGATGAGGAGTGGGTACAGTCTGCTAACAAATGAACAAGCGGCGGTAGTCCAGCTCAAACGCTTCGGGAAATCTTACTGCTCAAGTTCAACCTCGTCCAAGTAGGGCCTTCTCGGATTTTTGGTGGAACACGAGAGGAGTTAAGCTCTGGAAACCCCTCCGTGTAGATGTCGCAGTCAACGCGAAAGTCAACTATCCACAGCTCGAATGCAACGCTTTTAATACGAAAGAAAAACAAGGCAAAGTTTGCTTTTGTATGACACCGTTGAAAAACCTCTTGCTAAGAAAATTCAGGAAAATTTCGAGACTCTGGGACGGAGAGTTCTTCCGTATTCACGTTATAGCCCTGACCTCGAGGCAAATAATGCCCTTCTGCTCCCCTCTCCAAACCATCTCCTAGAGAAGAAAGCTCATCCTAACTATGATGATGTCAAAATCGACATCTGATCTTTCTTCGATCAGAATTCAGTAGAGTCCTACAAGGGAGGCATCGAGCAGCTACTAGTGTGTTGGCAATAGGTTGTAGATATTGATGGAGGGTAGCATGCCGGATGAATGGAACAAAAAGATAATGAAAATATTAAATTCAAAATTCGGCCAGTTTGTTGCAAGACTTATGGACCGACCTAATATAAAAAATAGAGTAGTGATACTGGTACCACGGAGAGGGTCAGTGAGTCTATATGCTTGAGCTATTAGACTGCTAGCATATCATTGTACCGATTATCTTTAGATTCCTACCTCCTTTATAACGGTAACTGATGCGAGCACAGATAAAAAATATAACCAACAACAGAATGGAGGAACTCAAGGTGCAGACGTTCATGGACGAGCGATTATGGTCAGCCCACCATTTCGTTACCCTAATGATATTAAATAGGAAGCACCAATCCACCCTTTCAGGCATGCTGTGAGAAGCTAATGGTCGGCCTACGTCCTATTCTCAAAGAAGAACCAGATTGGCGTAAAGCTGTGTTAAGAGCCTATAAGATGCGAGTACCTTTGCAAGCGTCCGAACACATAGGGTGGGTGCCAAAAAATGGCGGCACATGAAGTTCGTTTAACCGAAAACATCGATTACGCTTTTTTCAGCCGAAACATGGGATCCCTCTACAGTCATCCATGTATAACGCCACCGGCGCAGCGTGCATCGTTTCACAGATCGATTGCCGTACTGGGGAGCAACAGGTACTGAGGGTTTTTTGGAAATTCATTGTAATGTATTTTGATAGCAACAAAATTGCATCGATTTATGGAATTTCTAAGGGTTTTCTGTGGTGCTGCAACAAAATTTCTGTTCTGGAATTTCTGCCAAAATTTTTTTTTAAAAACTGCACACTTTAAAAGGAGCTTCTCATTCACAATCATTTTGAAGGGTTGCCAATGCTGACAAATTCATTATTTCCGACAGATATTTTCTGCATTATTAGGTCGCTAATATAGGAGTGTATTGAATTTTTCTAGCACTCAACTTTGTATTTATACGCACGCCGATTGTATTAGACGCACTTTGAATGCAATAGTAAATAAATAAATAAATAAATAAAATAAATGTCCTTCATGTAGAACACATATAGATGTGCTGTGAAACAAAGAAACAAATAAGTATGTTGAAGTGATTTTTAATGGAGTGGCTCCCTGAATACGACCTGCTCACTTAGAACAGCGCTGTGCACTCTCACTTAAATGCTACCTATTTTACTCCTATGGGCGTGGCCTGCATGAAAAGCGCACGCTTCTATTGGTTAGCGATTTAACCAACTGCAACAACAGAATGCGCAAGCTACAGATGCGGATGTGATGCGATTCAAATGTACGGCGTAATATGGAACAGTTGTGTCCCATTACTTCTTAGTTCTCTATATAATCATCCGCATCAGAGGTAATGCAATTTCGCCTACTCAAAAGGCATGGCGAAACCGCTAGGAACTCACGCATTGACGATTCTAATGTGTTCATGTCTGTGTCTGGCTTGTTCCCTGTGCTCTATAGCCTCCGAGTCTCTTTTCCCGCCCGCCCAAGCGCCTTGTTCATTTCCGTCTGTGTGCCTCGTGTAGCTGACTCCACCCCTCACAAACACCTACTTTGCAACCAATTCCCTGCTTCCGCTATGACGCGTTGCGTCATGACTACCGTATTCAGCAAATGCCCCGCTCCTTGAATTACGTCCTCAGAGCGGTTGAAAACAATTACAAAAAAGAACATCCAAACGTTTTTTCCGTTGTTGTAACTACAACCAAATGTACTCAGTGCTGGGTTTGTAGCTTATATCCACCAATTCAGATTCTATCCGTAGATATAGTCATGGATGTCGGCCGAAACTTAAATCCAGCGATAGATATCTGCCAAATCGAGGGAGCGTTAATGATGGTAATTACAATACACTTTTGACTATTCTTAGATAGAAATCTCTTTTTGTACATAAACTTTCATATTTTAGAGCTATAGCAGTCTCACATTTGAAAAGGTGACATATGATGACAAGGGGAAAGTGATCGAGAATACGTTTTCTTTATACAAACTACCGTCTCCATCAGTGACACCGATGAAGTGCGTTTGAAAGTTTGTGTTCTATAGAAGGAACTGAAAGCCCTTAAATTCGTGATACATATAGCTTCAGTTCTTAGAGGTGAATGTGTCCAACTTCATTTACCTTTTCTACCTCATATTGTCCACTTTGACCCTGCCAACTAAGAACTCAGTCATGCTAAATTCTGGAAAATAAAGGGTAGAAGTTGCTGATGAAGGTTGAAAGGAAGGTACTGCTGCCCAATTTTGCGGTACACGTTTTGCTCAGGTTCTGAATCCTAGAGGCCGTTGAATCATTGTTCTATAATGGCATGTGGGTTCGTGCTCAGCTGCGCGTTTCTATCTACTGATGTCTTTACCGGTTAATCCAGACTTCTCTAGAATGCATGGCGTGGTAGTTTTGATGTAGCCTATGGGACCTCCTCATCTCTATTGAGAATCTGCCGCAGCAGTGTGTCAAAAGCCGTCTCAGAAAAGTGGCCCCAATAGTTCGATCCCATAACCATTTCTGTTTACTGCTTGACCTACCATAAACAACAGAAGGGGAATAATCTCTATTACTCGACACCATGTTCAAGTAGTGTGATTGTTGCGTTTGGTTTCCTCCTTCCATCCACTTGTGGTATATTTTCCCTTCCTTTCCACTTTGAATTACACAACTCACGTCAAGTCGGTACAGAGGGGACACAAATCACTCACCATTACTGTGCCAATTTTCTGCCTTCAGGTTTCGCGTAAAACTCCTCAAGGAAACCGACTGCACAGAAGAAGAGGATAGCTTTCCGAAGGTAAACCATTTCGATTGTTTCAACAACCATATCATCATCATTATCACATGTAAGCGTCACTCGTAGTATGTGACAGCTCCGTGACGCGTCCAGCTCTTGAGGCGTAAGTCTCGCAATGCTCGGCGTAATTGCATATCCGGGGACGAGCTTTTACAGTTAACTGGCTGTTTTGCGCAGATGCATAATATCCCTTTAGTTTACTATGCTTAACTATCCTCATGGCACACTTGCCGCGCAACCCCCTACATGATGCATACGTGATCTGGGCCACCGTACGCTCCTCAATACCCGGTATCGCATCCCAGCACGTCCCGTCGGATCTTGGATTATACAAGTTTCTCGAAATTGGCAGCTCCATTGACCAGCTGCGAAAAACTAATTGCTCGTACTGCCATCCTTTAATCGAAACACACGAACCATACGCCGATTCCTCTTGTTTACTGACTAAAAAATTTCGCACTGTGTGACTGCTCCACTAACGTACTTTAATTTTGCGTGCTGCCTGCTTAGTGTCTACATATACGGCATCTCTTCTATCTCAATACACAGCCTTGTACGCTCCGACGACTCCCCTAGAACCGCCATCGACAGATTACGCAGAAGTGTTCTGCTCAAACCTGTGAAGCTCTTGACCCATCAAAAAGACGACATAGGAAAGGAGACCAGCGGAACCAGGGTCAACCGTTACGTTGGACCGATATTGGAGCGACGTTGGACCGATGTTGACCGCTCTCCGCGCCGGCATTCACTCTCGCCACCCGCGAGCCGTCTGTGTCTCCGTGCGTACGTTCACTCTCGGCATTACTCTCGTCGTCGCGTTGGACTTTGTCCAACGGACGGTTGACCCTGGATATTGAACGCTTTAAAACATGCGCTCTGTTTGCACAAACATTCTCGTACACCCGCCACGAGTACAGCAGTCCACCAAGTGCGCGCGCCATCGTCTCGACAGTTTTTATGCATTTGCTGCATGACAGACTGCCTCTCACTGCCTGTCCGCCGCCACGGACCGCAGGGAAGAAACCAGAAAAAAAACTCAAAAAAACCGCCCCCCACAAAATTTTTGGCGCGCGCACAACAAAGCCCCTTCTCCTTCATCTTATACAGATGAACGAAGAGCTTCTATGTCTCCAGGTATTCTTGCAAGTATTGAACATTAACGAAATGCTTCCCTAAATGATTACAGAAAAGGTATGAGGCTGTTCCTAAACAGTATTCCCTCTTTAAATCAGAGTCGCGCGCATTTTAATGCTTGTCTCGAAAACCATGAACAGAAGAGCGGCGAAAAGAAGCAGTGACCTCGTCAGAAAAAAGACGAAGATGCTCCGAAGGCTTACTGTCCTTTAGAGAAAACACAGCTTCCATCCATGAAGTTGAACATTGGGAGAGAGTGGACAAAATTGTGTCTGGGTCACAATCGCACCACATAGCTGGACAATTTTAAATTTTGGTATTTTTTGAGACAAAAGCGGCTCATTCATCCAGTTTGTGTAAATATAAACACTTTTACAGTGACTTGCGAGAGTAGCTGAAAAGTGTGGTGCTTTCTGTAATGATGTTGTGCTGGACTTTCGTTTCCTGCACTTTTGAGCCCTCTTGCAGCCTCGTCTTTCTGAATACGACCCCCTCCCTTTTCGTTCGGCCGAATACGACCCCCTCGTTGTTCTTTGCGCAACGGTTGGTCGACCCTGTGTACAATGCAAGGCCATAGCGCCATTGTCTCGCACCTTTGAGTCGCGAGAGTGTTGCTCCTCTTTCGCTTGGAGACCCCTCGTTCTCTCTCCAGAAGGAACTGAATCACGAAATCCAACCTTTACTCGTGGTTTAAGACAGAGAAAACTAAGCAATGGAAGGAGTCCTTATCAACCAAGTTCCTCATAGAAGAGGTCAATCACTTTTGCTTAAAAATGAGCTCTGTATTAGCTCCTACCTCCGCAAACATATTGTAATCGAGTTATATAAATTTTTAATTCGTGCAATGTCGCTCAGGGTAGATTAGGCAAAAAAGAAGAAATATTTGGATGAGGAACGTTACTATTTCTATGATCCCGCTGCAGAAGCAACGTACATAGGCTTCCAATTTTTTAACATGTAGGGTCAAGGGAACGAAAAAACAGGGCCATCCGGCTATCATATGGAAGTGCCACTACCATGCACGCTTGATATGCCTAGTGTTTGTTGTTAAGATATGTTATCGACTACAAGCATTTGTTGATTCGGTAAGCGTAGTGTTATTACTGATAAAAGAGGCAGAAGATAGACCTCCGCTACTCATTATTCCATCAAAACACACTTTTCCATTTTACATCACCTACATACATCCACACATTCTTCCCAGATTTTATACATACAGCCTTCTTCAAAAGCCGATGTTTGAACCCTGTGCACGCAATTTCTCCGTTGGCCTAGAATTAAAAAAATTAAATTATGAATCGTTGACACGGAAATAAGTGTAATCTAGTAATTTCAGAGCAATTTATGTTGGTGTCTTTTTGATATAACATTTTTTGAACTGATAGCGTCTGAAAATACCTTTTGAGGGAGACGAAAACCGGCTCCACTTCAAGGACATTCGCAAATT